TTGTAGCAAAGCAAGGAAGCCATTGCAAACGTTGTCAAAGTTGACATTAGCGTTGACCCATCGATAGTTATCATGGCTCTCRCATTGGGTTTTATTAGCAATTATGTCTGGTGATAGCCTTTCATKGTTGTCRTCAACACACCGGAAGAAYTTTCCTGGAAATTGAATGAACAAACCATATACCGTTATGAAACAGTTCAAACTTTGGGAATCCTTTTCGATAAGGAAGAAAAAGGTACCCTGATCTATCGATTTCACATGCTTTTCATAATATTATGTCATTCTAACAGATACCATGCGAAGTCGATGTCAGAACAARTTCTTGATAATTCAAACTTACCTGCAAACAACTGAACCCCAAGAATACTGAACATCAACCAGAATAAAAGTGATATGACCAGGACGTTACCAATTCCAGGAATAGCAGCAAATAAGGCATTGATAACAACCTGAAAAGCACAGCTTGTTGGTCAGTCATCTATAAATAAATCATTGTGTCCTTGTTCGATCTTACCTTCATTCCTTCCAAACGGGAGATGGCTCTGAGGGGTCGCAGTGCACGTATTGTTCTGAACGAGCGGAAAACTGAAAGATTTGGATTCTCAAATAGACACGCAACAGAAACCTGAAACAGATTTAAGCGGGAGACGTTGATGAGAAAACAAGTTCTTCTTCGCTTGACAAACGAATCCCAGTAAAAAGGAAAAATATCTCATGACAGAGGTACATAAACACAAACATAGGATAGTTACCGAAACTATGAGAGCGTCGAGGCAATTCCACACTGAAGTGAAGTATTTTACAAAACCAAACCCAATAACTTTCAGGAAAAACTCGATGCTAAATATCACAGCAAAAAGGAAGTTCAAAGTGTTAAGTATCTTCTCCAGCTGAGGTTTCTCGTGGAGGTGAATATCTTCAAACACCTAGAAGAACGACACTTTTATTGTATTTCCATATATGGAAAAGAGTTACCAGATAAGGAAATATACTATTCACGTGGTGCCTTCAAATCTTACCAGTACAAAGCTGCTTATCATGACRGCAAACAAWATAAACCATTCAAARTAACGGTGCTCCACAAAACATCGCACTCGRCAACGAAACTTGAGCCAACAGAARTGCTGTCCGGARGGACACGAGCARACCATACAGCATTGTGGGAAGCAATCGTCTATCTCGATAATGTATCTCTTGGGACTGGGATTTCTGTGACCTTCTGTTGAACTACTGCTGGATGAACAGTTCTCTGAACCACAACGAGAAATCCTATCGACTGAAAGATGACAAAATTAACTTAACTTGAAATCGATTCCTTAGCAAAGTGCACTAAAATGGCTTTGAAAAGATGGCTTTTACTAGCTTAAATCAGTCCTCAAAGTCTGGAATCTTTTCAGTCTTTACTTGACTGGCTCCCAACAAGAGSATATTCAAATAGCTTCCATGTTTGACTTACTTTTTTGTCCTTTCGGAGCGACATCAGAATATCTTTCTTGTAGTGGTGATCCTATACCGTGTTCAGTCGCTCGACTGCTTTCCAATACCTTYACCTGATACAGCTTGTATCGTTCACGAAATGTTGCAACATACATGCGGGTCTTTTTGGTTTCCATGAGATGACGACACGTACACARCTGTTTTCGTTGCTTCTTCTCGGCTTCTTTTTGTTGGGACTCTTCTTCTTTGATGGCGAAGGAATTGAGGAGAAGCGCGACGAAGAGGTTYARAACCTGAAAAGTAATAAAMATTTCTGATTTACACTTGCTTTTTTCATTGCTGYRATCTGGGCTCGAGTATKGACATTAGTTTGACAATAGAGTGTGGGGAAACAGGCTTGGAATACAAATATTTAGTCATGAGCTGAATTTGCTAAAGATGTTGTTTATTTCTAGAAAAGAACGCGGATAAGCATAAAAACGGCATATATTTGTACTTAAATTAAAAGGATTTGTTACTTACGATAAAGTTCCCKACGATCAGACAAGGTAAAAAGAAAAACAAAGCMACAGGACTTGTCACTTTCATGCAGTCCCACAATGGCTCCACCCATTCGCTGCATAATATTCGAAATACCATCATGAACGAGTGAGCAAAGTCCTTSAGATTCCATCGTGGAACTCCTTCAGGACCAAAGTTCTCTGGGGTGTACGCTGGTCCAAAAATTCTCATGCCCATGACAGCAAAGACGTAAATAATCACGCCAAGGATACAAGTGATGTTGAGGATTGGGTCGACACTGTGTGCGAT